TTGAATAAGGTAAGTGAATACAGTTTTTTATGAATAGGAAAGAAGGAATAAAGAATTCCAAAAGGAAGGATTTAAAAAAATGCTTTGGAACCACTTTCCTAATAGTTTGGTGTTCTTAGAACTGAGCCATCGTAGCCACCAGGTCATTATACCGCAATGACATGAAACTGTCGGTTTTATTTCTTTGTTTGGGACGCAATTCTGCTGAAGACACATTTAATATTGTTTATCTGCGAGTTAATTGTGTTTTCACAATGACGTCATTGTTTGCTTAATAATTGCATGAATCACTCTTGCTTACTTTGTATTATGATGTAATACATTTTGAAATTTGATACTATGATAAAGATTGGTCATGTGTGGACCATAACTAGTCTGTGTGTGCTGATATTAGTATTCCTAGGAAAGTTAAAATTTAACTGTCATGATTTACCCGGAATAACCCCCTATTTTGTAGAAAAAAAACTTTCAAGCAGCCAACTTATTTCAGGGTAAGGTCAATATTGACTGTTGTAATCGAAATTCGTTTTACAAAGAGTTCGCATAAACATGGACACACAAACATACCCAATTTTCAAATATGGTCTCGGAGACCTTATGAATGTTATATCAAAATTCTGCTTACAAAAAGTTCACATAAATATGGACTATTTGTACATTGAATAAGGTGACAACATTTCAGCGATCCTACGGTCAGTATACCGTGACTGTAAAAAACTTGGTTGGCAAGGTTCTTGGACCAGAAGCCAAAAATTTTGACCGCCAAGAGTGGCAGGCCATGTGTCGTAAAAAGTAACATTATATGAACACAATAAGCGTCTTGCCAAAACTGAATTTGATCGCAATCTCAATAAATTCCTTGAACCATTTTTTAGCTAAAACATCAAAATTTTGTTTTAATTTGGTTGTGGCAGCATCAGGCAAGCCAGATTGAATTACCCAACGTATTTAGCCCGCAGGCCGTACTTCGCCCATTTCAGCCTCACCATACTGGTACTGATTCTTGACTTATTAAGAATGTATTCACAATAGGAGATGATTTAGTTTTATCATTGTTTGTATAAACTTGACTCGTTAATATAAAACACTCAATCCACTCCAATATGCTTTGTATTCATTTAATTACTTCATGTAGGTCTTACGTAAAATGATAAGCTTTCAAATGACACTTCAGATGGTCGTTGGATATTGCATTGTATTATGTGTGACGATACCAGATAAAAAGAATTCTTTTAGAATTTACCAAAACAAGAAGATTCCAGTATTTTCTGGGCTAGTAACTTCTTACATATATCAGTGACTTCTCTCATTCTTGTTTAGATTGAAAAAGTATCAGTTAATAAAAATTCAAATCTCGCATGGAAACTAATAAAAATTTAATTTTAAAAAATATAAAGCATATCGATGTTTATCTCAACGTTCCTGTATTTCAAAATTGGACTGTTTGAAATTAGATTGGCTTCTCCCCTTGTTGTACACAACCTCATCAGTAATCAGTAATTTATTTTACCACATTGTGAATACACAGCACAAAAAAAAGTAAGGGGCTCCCGAAGTATGCGAACCAAGATGGCCGACATCGGAATGTAATATGTGTACTAGGTTAGGGTTAGGCCATAATTTTAGGTATAAATAATACGGGAGGCTCTTGGCTAGTCTTCGAACTGATAATAGGACTAACATAAGGAAAATTGGAAAGAAATTATCGCCTAACCCTAACCTGTTACCCATGTTACGTTCCGATGTCCGCCATCTTGGTTCGCATACTTCGGGAGCACTAAAAGTAATATGGTAACTCAGGGTTAAGGGAGGCGTGACGTGACATAAGTCTAACAATAATAGATAAAAACAGTAATATATAAGTCAAACAATAATTGTTAAAGGAAGTTAACGTCAAAGTAAGTCAAGGCGACCTGGATACCCAAAGGATGCATGATCCAAGGAAAAACGAATAACAACTGAATTGAATAAACTTGACTATCGTAAATATAAAGCACTCAAATCCACTTCAATACGCTTTGTATTCAGTTAATTACATCACGTAGGTCTGACGTTAAATTGAAGAGTATTCAGACGCCACTTCAGATGGTTAATTTGTTATCGGATTATTCAAAAAATTGTAATTTTGAAATTTCAAAACAGGACAATTCCAGCTCTTTAAAAAATTAGCAGCTTCTCACGTATCAAATGTAAGGAATTCTTTAGTATAAATAAGTCGGTCAGAGACAACGTTGTTACAGAAAAACAATTACTGTGGGGTAGTGGTTGCCCGTCCTATTTTGAATATTTACATTTCACCTTATCATCTGGTATTTGTAGCTTATTGTTAGCTAGTTATTTGGGGCTCAAGACAAATTTCAAAAACGTGACTTCAAAAGTTTGAGAGCCACTGACTTAGAGTCATATTTTGCTTGAAAACTGGCCAAATCGTTATTAAATCGTTTATCATATAGGCCAAGTACAGCATTGATTTTGCAATAACCAAAGTAGCGTATAATTCACCACTGTTGAGTCATAAAGTACTTCCTGGATTGTGACTAAAACTCATTATTACCACATAAAGATCACCTGACATGAGATGAGTCAATTATTGCGCTATTATTATCTGGAAATATATATCGAGTCATGTCACGTATGGCAACCAAAAGTTGTTTAGCCTCGATTGCCCTCGCAAAATGGGATTAAAAAAATATTCATCAAATAGGTTCAATTAAGGTTGTACAAAACATTTGAATATCTGCATTAATTGTAATTTATTTTCTTAAATTTAGAAATAATTTAGGAAAGTTACATTTAGTAAATTTAAAAAAATTCAATTTTTAGCAATTGAAGTCCCAAAGTATGGTCAAAAAGGCATCCATTTCATTTTGTGAAACTGTAAAATAAAAAACAGTCGACTCATTGCTTTTATCAACTTCCTGAATTTCCTTATTCAAGCTCTAAGCTAGCAATCCTAAGTTGTTTGTTCTCGATCGCCCTCACAAATCAGGATACTATATTGTATCGATTGTATTCAATATTTTGGATTCTTGATTTTAGGATGTCTTGTCTTCTTCCCCCATATCCCGCCCCCCCAAAAAAGATGCAACTTGTTGCCCTTCCGACCTGATTTGTGTATAGATAATAGGTATTTGCTGACATGTATATCTGCACTATTGAATATTTTATAATATGGGCGCGAAGAGGACCAATGAATCTTTTCACTAAGTTTATGTTGAGAAAAAATCGCTTTTCTTACAACAAAATTGACATTTGACCAAAAATTTGCTGAACATTTATTCCATAGAAACATTTTTTATGACTTATCGTAACACTACAATATGTTGTGGGGGCCTCACTGTTTAGTCATGAAGTATTTTCTCACTTGCAACTAAAACTCATTATTACCACACAAATATGTGGTGCGATGAGTCAATTATTGTTTTGTCATTATCTTGAAAATGAATCGAGTCACCTAGCTATTCGTTCACTCGTTAAAATACTGACTTTGGCTAATTTTATAACTGTCCAAAGAAGCAATTACGGCACTAAAAAAATTTAACAATGGTAGCGGTGAAATGTGGCAGCAATGCAGTATTTCGAATATAACATTATCTATAAGTTCCAATAGATAATTTTCATTTTCATAAATTTATTGCGGGGCTCTATAAATAGTAGTCAACCAGGTACTCCCGAAGTATGTGTACCAGTTTAGGGTTATGTTGTTATTTTATTCTGATTTTCCTTATTTTAGTTCTATTACGAGTTCGGTGACTGTTTGTGTTAGCCAAGTGAATATACACCTGCCCAAAGGTTTCAGTCTCTTCACACAACTTGATGTAAAGCAGGCGAACAAAATTAGTTACTTCCCTATTGGTACACATACTTCTGGAGCTCTGTCAACCTTTCCATGGGTTCAATAATACCAAAAGCTTAAGAACCCCTGGATATGGCCATTTTATTTCAATCTCCAAATTATAATTGGTATTTCACACACCTTGAGAGTAAAGTGCCAGCGTGTGACCTCAAATATAAGGTCAAAAATAAAGTCTTAAAATTGCAAAAGGGAATTTATCGTATGTTGTTTTGACCCTCACAGATGTATTAAATGAAGTATAAATACTTACAATTACTGAATAAAAAACAACAAAATGGGTAAGATATATTGAGAACTAACTTTGTAACAAAATTGAAATTGTGAAGAGACTTTATGAATACCCTGTATATGGACATTTAACCAGTGCAATTCGTGACCTTGTTTTTGTGCATATAAGATCATGTCACGTCTGAGTGTCTGGCATCGAACGTTCTACTCATCACATTCTCCTTGCTGGCATTAATGACTGAACTCTTGAATATTTCATTACTTTAACAATTTAAGTGTAATATGCATCCAAGGAAATAGGCCCTAAATAAATGGGCGTGTTGAAGGTGTGTTTATTTTGGCTTTAATGGAGTAGGCATAGCAAAATAAGTTTGAAATTGAATGAGTGTGTTTAGAGAACGGTTATTTGACTTTAACTAGCATAAAATGAGCAGCTGGCAGACATTGGAGCTTACGCAGGCAATGCCATTCTAGAAACACTCTTCACAAGGCAATGTAGCTCATAGATGTTAGTCAGGGATGGCCAAAACCGAATATATCATTATACCGAATACATTCTGAGAAAACTTTTTCGAATATGGGATACCGACACAAAATAAAGGTCATTGTTTTCTCTGTTGTCTGTCACCAGCTGAGATATTGTTCGTTTTGATTTGCTTGTCTCCTATTTTTCAAATACCATTTTTCTAAATTATAAGCTTGCCAGTGTCTTTAATTAATGCAAGCGCGCCCCTAATTATGTCTTATGATCACAAAGTCACCATTGCAATGCCGTTTAGGAAGCCCTGGTGCAGAGTAAAGTAATTCAAAATGTATAAATACTATATATTTGTGACTGCTTGGTGATACCTTGCTCAGAGTGAACACATGTACACTTCATTAAAAATATACTAACCCTGTTTTTTTCTGTTTCCAGGCCCTCTTGAAGTCCAAATCCGGTTTGACATCAAGTCAATTCTCTCAGAAATTAAAAACAACGTACCGAACCGGGACAAGTAAACTAGTTTCAAGCTTCAAGACTTCTGCAACAGCTACCTGTTCTGTCACACAGGTCAGTTATTGAAATATAGAGATGGCTGGGCCATGAGGCTGTGATAGGCTCCTGCAGAGCTTTCTAGGAGTCTAGGGGCCCATGGAGCGATTATCTTCGGGCCATGATAGGATGAGGTTCGGTCTTAAACTGGGCCCTTGGTTCCTGTAGGGGGTCACAGGACAATGCCCTGGGATTAAAAGCAAAGCTAGGTGTGTTTACTGAAATTAGGGTTGGGTCGCAGAGTGTTGACTCCTTGGGAAAGGCTGTCGCCAGGAATTTTCGAAGTGGTTCTGAGAATTCCAACAGCTACCAGGTAGGGCTGGGCATTTCGAATCGAATAGTAAATTATCGGTTCAGAACTAAATTTCGAATCGTCGCCATCTTGTTTTTATCTTTCCGCTTATGGTCGAGATGAATTCCCCAATTTTTTTTTTCATTGGAGTCATATTTTTTCAACGAAATTCTAACCTGTGACTATTTTCTGTAGTGAGTTATTGATAAAACGTGTTTGTTATTGTGTGTGAACGCTCGCTCAGTTGTCTATCTGAGTGATGTATTCTATGTCTTCAGTAATTCATTTGTTAAGAAGACCAATTACTATAATAAAGTCGCTTACAATTATATATTTTCAAGTATTCGAGATTCGATTCGAAAAAATTATTCGATTCGATTCTGAAATCACAAGGTATTTGAAATGACCAGCCTTACTAGCGAGTTTTGCCAGAGTATGGAGGACCCAAAATGTGTGTCGAGCTATGAAAAATTGCTTTTTTTTTGAGTTTTAAAGTTTTTACTTTGGAAAGGGGAAACATAAATTTTGGATACCACTAGAGTGAAATGGAGGACTTTGGATTTGTGGAAAATTTACACATTTCTGCATCATGTCACGAAGAACTCTTGGTTGACAAAAATTGTCACTCTAATTCCATTTCAAAATTAGAAAACCAAATTTGGCCACAAAAACTTTGCCGTATGCGTTTCCATTAATAATAATTCGCAATGCTTAGAATAGCACCCAATTAAACCATCTGACATGCAACATATCTATACAATTATTGATTGAATATTTCCAAATCTATAAATCAAATTTAAATGACTTACAATTCCTGGAAAAGCTATAATTCATGAAATTAATTGCTAACGTTGGCATAATAGTCTAAATTTATTATATTGATTAGTGATTATTTCGGGAAATTTTACGCATGAAGTGTCGGTACTAGGCTATTTATATATTTATGTTAAAGTATTATATTTATGTTATTGGACACGTTTAGTGGACATAACGATCGTTTCAAAATTTTGTTGTTATTGTTATTTGTCTCCGTCTCCATTTTTAAAAAATCGCTTTTCTCTTCGAATACTGGACCAATTGCTTTGATATTTTCAGTGGTTAAAGATAAAATTTTTCTCCAGAAGGCTATTACTTTTTTTCCCCGCTATGACGTCATCAAAATTATTGCCACTGGGTGGCGCTACGTGTCCATATATTTGAGCATAGCTCTCTTGGTCTGTTAAAATATTAAATTTCTATGATTTTATGTTGAATAAATCCATGTGAATCTCTTTGAAACTCAAACGAATTAAATCCCCAAATATTGATTACCGTTAATTTTGGGAATATCAGCATAAAATTACTGGTGATACAATTGTATAAGCAGTTCTCCCCTCCCTACCTGAGCTAGCAAAAAAATATTTTTTCAAAATAATTTTTCGATAGAGATGCAAGAAGATATCAGTTAGCATGAGACTTGAAAAAGGTTGTTTTAGTATTGTCAGGAAAAAAGAAGACAGTGGTCCCAACCTTTTTTAAGTAATCCAAATATTTAAAAAAAAAAATTTGTAAAATTTCACAACCCAACGATAATATGCTCGAATACTGTACTAAACCGAATGTTTATAGCCGCGGAATTGAATAACGAATACAAAACAATTTAATATAACATTTATTCCAACATGACTTTCAAACTCGCACAAATGAGATGGTTTGCCATCAGCGAGGTATTGAAATCATTGCGTTGCTTTAACCAAAAAAGATGCTGTCAAATTATTGAGCTGTGATATTTCCCAATATTCCACATATACAATTACTAGCGAGCAACACTTCTTGTCACACATGTCGTTTGTATTCATAGCTGCTTTACAATGATAATATTATTAGGCCCAATTCCTATGTCCCTAAATTTTAGAGAATTGTATAAAATTTTAGAATGTATTCAAAATTTTCAAATTTGAATTCCAGATTTTCAAATATTTATTCGGTTATGGCCATCCTCACTTATTCCGTTTATACATTCAATTTAAAAACGAAAATGTTGAATTTCAAATTATTTCTTTGTGTAAGTTCAGAGAAGCAAGAGACACGATTTGTATTCCTCTGAACTTTTGCACTTTTAATTAAATTCTAATTCCAGACTGATTTAATCAATCAAAACTTAATCAATACTTAGTTACTGAAACTGCTATAATGTGAATTAGAATTAGATTTACCAATGTTGGCATCGCAGTTTAAAGATCTGACTGCATTCCAAGAATGAATATTGTTTTTCTGTACATTACACATGCAATTTAATCCCTGATTAAAATTCAGGGTACTCCCGTAGTATGTGAACCAAGATGGCGGACACCGGAACATGGTATGTGTACCAGGTTAAGGTTAGGACATAATTTTAGGTACAAATACTACAGGAATCACTTGGAAAGTCCATAAACTCGTAATAGAATTAAAATAAGAAAAATTGAAATAAAGTTATGGCCCTATTCTGGTACATATACTACGTTCCAGTGTCCGGCATCTCGGTGTACATCCTACGGGAGCGCCAAATTTAGTATAATTATGTTAAGATTAAAACAATGAAAATTGATAGTTAAACCAAATCTTAAAAAAGTAAAAGTAACTGTCCGAAAATAACATCTCTGAAATAAGTGTTCAAGACAGTGTCACAATACATTCGAGTACTATTTGTAATTACAAAAATTTCATTTGCTTCTGGGGGAGTATAAATGACTTTGCTTTAAGCAAGTGACATAAAAATTGATCATTTTTGACTGTTTAATCGAATCCTAATCCTTGATTTAATCAATCTAATCAATACTTGGTTACTCGAACATTTGTGATCAGAAGTCATGCAGTTATGGAATGGTCTATTATTGATCAAGACAGGCAAGCAAAAATGGGAATAGGATAGGATTTACTTATTTATCCAGGGAGGAGAGGAAAGCCGATAAGACGGCTCCATCATATGGCAAACCACGACCTTTCGTCTGATTGACAGTCCATGTCGGGTATGGGATTCAGCCAGTTATTAGTTTACGACGGCATGAACTTGATGCCATAACTGACCAGCGATTACTCGGGAAATTAAATTTAAAATGCAAATTAAATTTTCCTAAATTAAAAGATTCACTTTACTGAAAAATACCTAATTTTCAATAAACATTCAGTTCAATTCAATCCCTGTGGCATTCCCATTTGTCAGATTTTTGGCCGAAAAACCCCATTATTTCCATTAACACATTGACGCCACTATATTTCCAGACGCAGATCAATACCTTGCCAATATGACATTATAAAAACATGTCAGTATTTCACGATTGATAAAAGGGGGTGTGTCACTTGGCTACACGCCCATTATTGGATTTGACTCTTTATACCACTGATTTCTATTTTTTTTTGTAGAGCAGAACCCGCAACTAGACATTTCATATGCTTGTGGAAACCCTGTTCAATTGCTTTTTTTGTTTGAATTGTATAAACTATGAATATAAATATAAAAGCAAATTTAATACTAGCCCCACATGTTGGTTGATTATGGCATTGTTTGCATAAAAGATATAAAAAATCTCATACAAAACATAACATATATAATCTTTTTCGCAGGAACTCCGAGGTCACAAAGATGGCGTTCTACACGTTGATGCCTCCCCTATTGTTCCTGCAACCGCTGGATCTGCTTCAGCCGACCAGACGGCAAAGTTATGGTAAGTTGGTCATAATGTTAGAGTATTTTTACGCTTCCACTTTGAAAAAGGTCTTAATTGGCAGCCACTGAGGACAGAAACGAAGCTTTTTTCACTCTGAAAAAAAACTGAATAAGTCGATATTTTATATATCCAAAAATTGAAGTTAGGTGTGTTTTTATCGATATTGGAGGCAGTGTCGCATTTTCTGGACTCAATGTCACAATTTTGAACTTTGGGAGACAGTTTTCTCGAAGTTCAAAACTCAAATCGTGACCAAACTCAAAAATTTTTGTCAACCGAGTGTGGGAGTCATTTTCAAGCAGTTTGTCAGTTTTAAATTTTTCAACTCCCTGGCGCTCCACAACATAACTAAATGCAATCACTTTTCTAGGAATCTCAACACAGGTCATTGTTACGGGACGTATCGTGGCCACACAGGGTCAGTCAACTGTATTCGTTTTCATCCCACGAAGCAACTAGTCCTCACTGCGTCTGGGGACGGTAGCGCCCACTTGTGGCCTTTTGAATCACCTATGACATCATCACTGATGACATCAGCAGATGAGGAAATGCAATCGGACAGAGATGAAGGTAAGTTTCGATTTTATTAAAATATAACTGATCCTCAAACTGGCTATATGTGCACATACAGCCAGTATACACATGCAACCAAGTTATGCCCAATATACATGCACAGCCAGGGATGTTGAAAATAATAGTAATAGAATAAATAATATTTGAAAACTGGATTTTCATTGACTTGATTCGATAAAATAAGGGTATAAGGAAAATTTTTCATGAAGACGTCCATATTTTCACATTTCATCTGACGCTGATGCAGAGTTAAGGATATCTACAGGTGTTCTTGATCCACAGAGATATACTTTAAGGAAAAATTTAGAACAGCTTGGAATTTGTCTTCTTGAGCAGTGGTCGGCAACCACCGAGGCGCGACCCATCGCCGGTCCGCGGAAATGTTACTACCGGTCCGCAGAATAGTAACCTAAAACGTACAAGGTCTCAATAATACTTTTACAATTTAGCAACCAGAATCTCCACGACTAAAAAACAGCAAACCAGACAAACGCAACGCAACAGGATTGACTTCCCAATCAAGTGCCATGTCAGTATGTTGCAATAATGCTGTGCCAATTGCGTCTGTATAAGAAGTCTTACATCAGTTCGAATAAGATCTCTCAAACAAAACCATTCTCGCTAACAACGTGACTACTGGCTCGTAGCTAACTTGGATTTTGTTATAGAAGCGTTTGAACGCTACTTTCCCAGCGCAAACGACCCAAGAATTTTAAAGGAATGGATACGAAATCCCTTCGTAAATAACCCTTACGAATCAACTATAAGATTTGTCTCATACAAGGCAGTTGATTGAAATTTAAAATGATTGCAGTCGTTTGGTCAAAACTCTTAAATGAATACCCAGACATAGCTTCACAGGCATTGCTATCTTTCCCGACATCGTATTTATGTGAGGCCAGGATTTCAACACAACTATACAAAAGCGATGTAAATAAAAAACATGTTACGTGTATCACTGTCGACCATATTGCCGAATTAGGAACAGTTAATGGCCAGCAAACAAACGCAGATCTCGCATTAAATAGCATCACCTTTGGTTTAGAATATAGTGTTTACGTAAATTTTCTGATGCGTGTAATTTATCACATAAACTCAGTTCGTTTGTGTAAAGGTGGTCCGCCAAAGTTTTGGTCAGGCTTTACCGGTCCGTCACTTGGAAAAAGTTACCGACCACTGTTCTTGAGCAATAGACAGGAACGTAGCCAGGTTTTTTTTCGAGGGTAGGGGGTTCCTACTCCCCCACATTCGAAATGTAAAAAAAAAAAATTATGTATGATACATCTGTATGATACATAGCCATTTTCGTAACTTAAAACGCAAGATTCCTGAAAAGCCACATTCCGGCTAGTTGATCTAAATTGACAATCAGAAATTTTAGAACTTCCTCTTCAAAATTACTGGCAATGCCACTAGCAGCAATAGACAAAAATTAAATTTAGAATTTGGTTAACTTTAGAAACTAAAAACAAAAAATTAAAACTTTCGTTTACTATTTCAAAGTATTCTCTTTCTTGCAGAACCCTTAGATACTGTGGACACGTCAGCATCACTCATGCGTAGTTTGTGTCACATGTCTGCAGTGGTTGCCTGTGATTGGTTGATGGATGGGCAACATTTCGTTACTGCATCGTGGGATCGAACAGCGTGTCTCGTAGACTCTTCAACTACTCAAGTCGTGCAGACGTTAAGCGGACATGACCAGCAGTTAACTCATGTTAGGTAAGTGTATATAATAGTGTAAGTCAGTGATTCTCAACTTTCCATGGGTTGTGGTAGCCCTCATTCCGGAGGGTTTTAGCACTCATGGCCCCCTGTCTATCATTCCAGTTATATTTATAGTGTTATTTTGATTGGTGGATTCCAAATCCCATTATGTTCAAACAATTCACGCACAACAAAGTGAAAACACCCTGTGAAATAACCTTATCAAGCGATGAAGCTAGAATGAATGAGGAGCTTCTTGGTAAAAGGAAACATATGCAAACGAAATTGCATTGAAATCAATTTTGCGCCTGGTATCATTTATTTCCTATTATAAAATCTTAATTTTCGTTCGTGTTTCTGTCTCTACCCAAACTGCACGGGTCGGCCATTTGGCATCTTTTCATCAAACTCAAAACTACTCAGAGCCGCAACATATACTCTGCCAGTGGGTATTAAAACTCTTATGAAAACTTCTTATGATGCAATAATTCAGTTTATGACGAAATGAAAATAACTTGAAAAGCCACATGTGCCCTATTTTTCAGATGCCCAAACGAATCTAATCTAAATCCACTCATTTTATTTATTTATTCTCAGTGCACACCCTCAACACAAATTGGTCGTAACTTCATCCCGAGACGCAACGTTCCGTGTCTGTGATTTCAGAGTGTCGACGTTACATTCTGTCATCGTGGGCCAAGGTCATTCTCACTCCGTGACCTCTGCTGTCTTCACCCAGGATGATAAAGTTGGTTGGTTTTTTTTTATCAGCAAAGTTTTCCTCTGCACAGGTCTCTGTACAAGCGGCTACTATTTTCGGACCATCTAGAATAAGTTACATTTTATGCACAATATTTACAGTGTTACAGAAGCAAAAGTGGAAAACAACAAGTCTCGTGCCAAAACTAAATTTAATTGCAATCTCAACGAATTCCTTAATCTATTTTTTAGCTAAAAACATTAAAATTTGGTTTTAGTTTGGTTGTGGCAGCATCAGGCAGGCCATATTGAATCACCTAACGGGCCAGATTTTCTCGCGGGCTGTAGTTCGCCCATGTCAATGTAAAACCGTTCAATATTAAATATCGTGCTCAAATCGTACATAGGGAAAAGCCTCATTACTGTGAATAATTGCACTTTAATCGGGGCTCCCGAAGTATGCGAACCAAGATGGCGGACATCGGAATGTAATATGTGTACTAGGTTAGGGTTAGGCCATAATTTTAGGTATAAATACTACGGGAGGCTCTTGGCTAGTCTTCGAACTGATAATAGGACTAAAATAAGAAAAATTGGAAAAAAATTATCGCCTAACCCTAACCTGTTATCCATGTTACGTTCCGATGTCCGCCATCTTGGTTCGCATACTTTGGGAGCACCCTTTAATCACCCTCAATATTTTTCAGATTGTTAGTGGGAGTGACGATCGTTGCGTAAAAGTCTGGGATCTCAAAAACATGCGATCGGCAATAGCAACGATGCGTTTTGATTCTCCTGTCAACAGGCTGAGTGTCAATCAGAAAGGAGTTATCGCCATACCTCATGATAATAGACAGGTAGGAAAAAATTTTTTCGGGGGGAAGGCAAGGAGGGGAAAATTTCTTGATTTTTGAGTGTTAATTAAAAAATCAAAAACGAGTTATTGCAATTTCTCAAGATTATAGACAGGTAGGGAAATTCATCATCTCTTCATTTTCCTTTTAACAAGCTGATAGTTAATCAGAAAGGAGTTATATTAAAGGAGAATTTTTTTTTGTTTCCTCGAGGGGGAAAACTTCTTAATTCTCCTGTCAACAGGCGGATAGTTAATCAGGAAACCCCTTTTTCACGGGCGGTAAAGAGGTGGGGAAACTTCTTGATTCGTCTGCCAACTGACTGAATGTTAACCAGAAATATGTCATCGCTATACCTCATGATAATATACAGATAGGAAAAAAAAACATTTTTTGGGGGGGGAACGTAGGAAAGAGGGGAAAAACTTTTTATTCTCCTGCCAACAGGCTGAGTGTTATTCAAAAAGGAGTTATTGCAATTTTATTTTTTTGGGGAGGGCCGCAGAAAATTGGGGAAACTTCCGCAGAAATTTTTTTTTTTTGGGGGGGGTTTGGCTCGTTCAGTCCTCTATGAATGTCAGTGGCTGCTAAGAAATATCCAAGGCAAATGATGAAATGTTATATTTGTGCAGAGAAATTTATTTTCAATGAACTTCATTTAATCTTCTCTCTGATGCCATGGACTGTCTTGTTAGCGGATCTAAGGGGGTAGTAATAAAAAATTTAAAACAAAATTTTGGGTTTTAATTGGTCTGGGGGAAAGCAAAAATCAAATTACTATTTCGAGTGCATTCTGTAATAATATTTTCCAACGTAAAATATATTTTCAATTATTTAATTGCATCGGAAACAAATAGTTGGCTAGCGTCTCATCAACTTTCCTCTCCATCGAGCTGAAAAGGGAATTCCTGTCTTTATTTGAATTTTGAAATTTTCTTTTTCAGATTCGATTATTCGACATGTCTGGTGTGAGGCTAGCTCGGTTGCCACGGGATCGCTCGTATCACAGGCGAATGGTTTCTTCAACGGCTTGGGTGGATAGTGCACACTCTAGTGGACACAAAACGAAATTATTAACGGCAGGCTGGGACAAGGTCGTTTTAGGATGGGCGGTTAATATTCCTAATAGTTTAATTAACCATGTCAAATGATGAAAAATTGTATTTTCTGATATTTGTTTAGATTTTATATTATTTTATTGCCTTTTTCATTTTTTTTATTGAGGAGGGGGGGCTATTGACCATCAGTGGTGATTTAATATTGATGGGGGGTAAAAATAGGCGGTCACATGTATATACGGTAATAAACTAAAAGTATTCTTGTCCCAAGTATTGAAGTGGAATCCGGGTTAAAAAAAATTTTGTGGTTGGGTACAGTTTATCAAACTAGCCTTGACTTGACCTTGAGACTAAGATTGACTTTGAGCTGACCTTGACTTCAGCCTTTTTGACCTTGAGAGTAAAATTAGCTTTGACTTGACTTTGTCTTTACTTTTTTGACCTCGAGAGTAAAATTAGCTTTGTCTTGACCTTGAGTTTACTTATTTGACCTTGAGACTAAAATTGACTTTGAGCTGACCTTGACTTCAGCCTTTTTGACCTTGAGAGCAAAATTATCTTTGACTTGACTTTGACTTTCCTTTTTTGACCTCGAGAGTAAAATTAGCTTTGACTTGACCTTGAGTTTACTTATTTGACCTTGAGAGTAAAATTAGCTTTGACTTGACTTTGTCTTTACTTTTTTGACCTCGAGAGTAAAGTTAGCTTTGACTTGACCTTGAGTTTACTTATTTGACCTTGAGAGTAAAATTGACTTTTAACTGACCTTGGTTGATCTCAGCTAAGTTTTCTTAGATATTTTGATCATTTCAATTCCCTGTTTTTTTTTTCTTGGGAGGGGGGGAGGCTTTGAAGATACAGTGGTTACATGAAATGGGCAGGGGGTGAAAACAGATTATGTTCAATTTTAGTATTTTGACCTTGAATCATTAAGCCATGACCTTGAAACCCAGAATGAGTTTATTTTTTATTTAACTGTTTCGCTTTTCATAATGATATTTACTTATTTGTCATCGAAGACGAAAGTGGCAAAAAGTGTTGTGCATTTTAGAAGTCAAAAGTTGCTGCTCTTTGAGTAGTGTGATGGTGGGGGGAGGGGGAGGAATTAAAAAATAAATCGAAAGCAATCAAAGTTAAGAAATTTTTAATTTTTTCAATTTGGGTTCTAGTTTTAAGTTAATTACCAAACTGATTAAGATGAATTAATTATGATTAAATATTTCGTGTATTTAATATTTTTTTAAACCTGAATTTTTTAGAATTTCCCAAATATTGCTGAGTTACTTATTGCTTTATTACATTGCCTATCTTTTTGCTTTGCGTTTGATTTTTATTTCCAATTTTTTTGAAATTTTTTCAGGAATGTATGAATTTTGTCTTCTGCCCCTTTTATGGGCTTTATACGACTGCTTTATATTGAGATCTTTAGCCTAGTCCAGGGGTCCAGGAAACTGGGGTTCGTGGACGCCCAAGGGGTTCAGGGAAATAGTTCTAGGAGGTCGGTGGGGGACCAGTAAACATTTTTGAGGACAAAGTGAATTTACTCTTTCACCCAGTACAAATGAGCATTAATTGTAAACACTTTCTGGGGGATACAAAACCTTACCTACTCCTGGGTTATAGTCTCCTTTAAAAAGGAGGTCATTACTCTATTATTTGACTTCTCCAAATGGTCCCATGTCCTCAAATCATAGTTGATTGATGTATTGTCCATGACATCCTTACTGCTTATAGGGAGCTTCTCTACTATGTGTATTTAAGCTAGCTCTTCATTTAACATTTTACTGCTTTTTACTAGCATGCAATGCGCCACTATGATTCTCGCTATATAGTTTTAGTCAGGAGCAATGTTCTCTCTAATTTTTTGTAGTATGTGTGCGCAGAAATTTTGATGTGTGCGCACTTTTTTGGAAATAACTAATATTAGTGCAAAAACCGATGAAGAAATTTTGACATTCTAATCGGGTAATAAGTGGGCCAACAACAAACTTTTTCAACCTGCCAACCGAGCACATTGTTACATTACATCGAAATACGTCTGTACGCAGTAAATCTATGCGTGTGCGCAGCCTCTGAAAGCTGTGTGCGCGCGCACACCTTAGAGGGAACACTGGTCAGGAGCGTAGAAAGGGGGTTGAGGGTCATACCCCCCCTCCTCCCACTTTTAAAATGAAAAAAAAAAATTCTGTGTCATACATAGTTTTTCATAGCTTGAAACCCATTTTAGATCGTCAATACTTTTGAAATCTCATGTTTCTCGCTAGTTGATGATATGGCAATTAGAAATTTCACTGCCTCGTCCTCCTTTTGAAATTACTTGGTTACACCCCTGCAAGATGTATGTAAAATATACTGAAAAGACGAAATGTGTTTTTCCATCATCGAATCGATCCTGTTCCAAGTTATTGCTGCTTCATTTTACTATATTTTTGCTTATTATTGTTACTTATCGATCTTTAGATCGGTAAGTATGTTGATAGGTATTTGTCTGTCTGTTTGTCTGTTAGATGTCTGTTTGTCTGTTAGATCCAAATTTTGCATGTGCATTCATCTTATCTCGGACCAGAAGCCTATTGATTTTGAATGAATTATGTCGTATAATTAGCGAGTTATTAATTAATTAGTGATGGGACACGTGGTGTCACTATTGAGTCATGAATCGAAACCGCAGTTTTGATAAGTCACAAGTTTTTTTTCCTGGTATATTGTGTCACACATGACTTTAGGTAATTGAAAAAAGATTCGTGACCGCTGGGTAAATCCCGTATGAAAAATATTTCACCCAAGAATATTATAATAAAAAGACGAAATGTGTTCCAACCTGTTCCCAAGATATTGCTGCTTCATTTCACTCCATTATATTTCCGATAATTGTATCTAGTTTAATATTTTTCGAAACTTTAAAAACTTGTTCCTAGTATATTGAGTCAACCATGACGTGTGTTTTTTAGGTAATCAGACAAGGATGTTAACCACTGGGTGAATTACATTCCTCCCCATAAAAAAGACTTCACCCAAATAGATTTAAAGTCTGGCTTTAAATTTTTTCATCTATTTATACAAATAAGTTTCGTAAGAAAAGTTATTCTAGTATATGTATATGCCGCGCTAGCAGCCCCAGCGAGATCTTTTGCGTCTATCAACCTTAGAGATATTATGTCACCTGTATTGTTGGCGATATCTATCCACTATCAGCTGTAGTGATACCTGATACCCTTATTTAAACAAGGATGTTAACCGCTGGGTAAATCACCCTCTAAACTTCATTTTTAATTTCTTTTTTGAAGTATTTATATAAATAATTTCGTAAGAGAGATTATTCTTTTGCTGGACTAGATATCAGCCATATCTTAGTGACGCTCCCTTTCGCCTCGGTGATATCGATATGTGGTATTGATAAGGGTCGCCCTTATCAGTGCTAAAGATAACATGTCGATCTTATCAGTGACTGTCGCCCTATCAGCCCCAGTAAGATCATTCGGCCTTATTAGCCTGAGAGATATATGTCGACCCTATCGATATAGACTTCGGTCGCCCTAGTGAAAGATATATGTCGGCCCTGGCGATATCTGTCCCCTATCAGCTGTAGTGATAACAGCTCTATCGATATAGACTTCGGTCGCTCTTATCAGGTCGAGGTCGAGATATTTATGTCGTCTTATCGTAAAAACATATGTCGTCCCGACAATATCAGTCGCGTTTATGGTATTCATTGTGTGTTACGGAGCCAAGTTTTGCAATCTAGCTTTAATGTTACTCTGTATACTTACTTTTATGTTCTATTCCATTGACTTTCCCTACAAATGGGGCTAATCGGGAAAAAATAATTTGAGAAGTTTTATATTTTTCGAAACTTTAAAAACTTGTTCCTAGTATATTGAGTCAACCATGACGTGTGTTTTTTAGGTAATTAGACAAGGATGTTAACCACTGGGTGAATTACATCCTTCGCCATAAAAAAGAATTCACCCAAATAGTGTGTGTACTTATCTAATTCTAGATTTAAAGTCTGACTTTAATTTTTTTCATAATTATACAAATAAGTTTCGTAAGAAAAATGGGGCTAATCGGAAAAAAAATAATTTGAGAAGTATTTGTACAAAATTAGCCATGACTATTTAAATATCTAACATTTATATAAGTTTATCGCAAGATATTTAGAAATTGCCTTCTGTAATATTCTTACTCTGTCGCTGTTTTTTGCATTACTCCACCAACTGACATCATCATTTAGTTCAGGGGCGTGCAGTCTGTGGCCCGCGGGCCTAATGCGGCTCGCAAGAAAAAATTGTGCGACTCGCCGAGAAGTGCCAATTTTAAATAGTGTGCGGCCTTCAAAACGAATTTTTAATTTTGTTAAATCTGGTATGTGCTAGTAATTCCAATCTCTACGCGTTACGAACCTATACCCGGGTGCAATTCATTATCTATGACGTCAAAATGCCCTAAGAGCTAGCCTGTGCGAAGCGAACAACGCATGTCACAAAATAAAAAACCCAAACGTTTGTGCGTGCAACTACTAGATAGTCTATGTTGAATAAAGGTGCGGCCTGTGATTATTCGTCCCTGGCCCTTTTTGTATTGGAGGTTGCACATCTTTGCTTTACAACAACGCAAAGGTGTTGGAATTACTCTCAACATACTAGATTAAATTAAAAAACTCGTTTTGCTGGCCACACACTATTCAAAATTGGCAATTCTTCGCGAGCCGCACAAGTTTTTCTCGTGGCCGCATTTGGCCCGCAGGTTGCTCACCCCTGATTTAGTGTATTAACTGTGGGCGTAATGTAATCTAAACCAGACCTACCACCGCCAATACCTGTTACTTATTCTTAACTTTATTGCTCTTTCACATTTTGTTTATTTTACTTTTCTCTAAAATTTAAAGAATTTAACCTTGAATTGTTTGTCTTTTATGTCATTGGAACTATGAGAAAGACGGTTAGAGCTGGGCATTTCGAATCGAATAGTAAATTATTCGAATCGGTTCAAAGCGAAATTTCGAATCGCCGCCATCTTGTTTTTTTCCTTTTCGCCAATTGTCGAGGTAAATTTCTAAATTTTTTTTTATAGAAGTCATATTTTTCAACGCAATTCTGACATATGACTCATTTCTGTAGTGAGTTCTTGATGAAAACGTATTTTTTACAGTGTGTGAACGCTCAGCAATCTGTCTGAGTGATATATTTGACGTTTATAGTAATTTATGTGTCTGGAGGACCAAATACAAGAAGACAGTTACATACAATTATATATCTCCCAAGTATTCGAGATTCGATTCGATTCGAAAAAAATATTCGATTCGATTCTGAAATCATCAGGTATTCGAAAATGCCCAGCCCTAAAGACGGTTAATGAGTTATATCTCTGAGTCTACACATCTGGAATGACCAACCTGTAAGTTGGGATCAGACGTGGGTAAATTATTCTGACGGCCCACTTGAGTGTTTCGTTCGGCCTCCTTGTGTCTGCTGAAATTACGACTATAGTTTTCCATGGATATAAATTTTCGTTGAAAATATCGATGAAAATCACGTCACAATCCCCGATTGTTACATTGTGTCTCTTATTATATAAACGTTAGCTTAGCTGTTGGACCAGCTATCCTGAATAAACTGTTTTTTTTTTCAATTTTTGTTCATAGGATAGGATTAGGATTTACATATTTATCTCGGGGGATAGGAAAGCCGATAAGACGGCGTATCCATATGGCGAACCACGGCCTCTCCTCCGGTTACCATTCCAAGTCGGGTATGGGATTAGTTATATTGTTTGTTTTCGGAATCATGGACTTGGTGGTGGAGGAAGCCATAACCGACCAGCGGTTACGTGAACCACCCAACGACGGCGAGGAGTCCAGCAATCCTCTCACACATAACCATCCCTGCATGGGATTCGAACCTGCGAACCCACGCAGAGTGATTAGAGGTGCGGTGGTGAGCGTATTCCTAACGCTTAGCCCGTTGAGCCACACCGCCGAGGCAGTTTTGAGCCTCCGGCCCAGTAAGCAAGCCCAATTTCTGTAACTGGCCCAACTAGAAAAGTAATTGCCCACCTATGGTCAGAATTAGGGTTGGATTATCCGGTTAACCGAGAGTTTTTTTGCTATTTGATATCCGGGTATTTTCGTGACTGTTAACCGGATAATGTAGGGTTACAAATAATGCATATGCGCAATAGTGATTTTTATATTTTGTTGAGTGGCGGCTGACATCTCCCAGAGCATATAATACCAACTTTTATTCACACTACTCGCGTAAAATGCTGAAGTGGACTTCACTATTGCATCACAAAACACGCAGAACAAATGTTATTATTACATATTTGCGTTATAGAGGAGCTCAATCGCTTTATAAAGTTATATTGGAACTGGGTGTGCAGTATGAACAAGACTAACCTAAACGAATTCAGTTGAAAATCATTGAATGCGTACAGGTACACGAACGAATGTAATGTGCATGTTTTTAACTTTTGATATTGCGCAAAAAAATCAATTTGCAGCCGATTCGCGTATTTAAAGCCTTTCCATAATAACTGTGTTCAACGCATCTCGCGATTGCGTCGACTCACGTTAAAATGAAAGCACTTCAATCAATCAATTTTATTCGGTCACTCTGATACACACAAAACAACAACAAAGAGCAAACAAAATACAGAGGACAGGTATAACTCAAAGTTAAATACGCACAAGTACGTGCCCGTCCCCCCAAAACAGAGTAAAACAAAAACACGATATGACATCGGGCAATATCTTATAAATTCAAATTAAAAAGTGAGACGTGTATGTGCTTTTCCTACAGATATATGGATTAAAGAACACTCGCTGCCGAAAAATGGTGATGTTGTGGGCCTTCTTCAATTACGTTGCAAAAATAACACAGTGACAATTTTTTTTAACTAAAAAACAAGCTTGATAAATGGATTGAATGTTCCATAGCAGTCTATGCACAAATCATGGATTGGGGTATTGGGTTCTTTTGTCGTTTTCGGTTAGTTCAGTTTAAAATCATTGTATTCGTTCCATTGCTTCCAACATTAATATCGAATTTCCACGAACGACCACCATTCAGCCATTCCAACAGGTGCCATCTTTTCTACGCTATGTTCCATCATCCACGTGTAGATTCATAAAAGGATCGAAACCTAGCAATATACCCGCAACAGTTCGTCCA